CTTTCTTTTCTTGACTGATCATTTTCATCAGAGGATTTGAAAAGCCAAGTGAGCTTCTAAATTCCATTTTAAAAATCACTAATTGAGTAAAGCTGAATCAGCTAAACATCTTCCAAAACTTTAATTTATAGAGCTGTTTTTCCTCCTGACAGACATACTGGCAATAATCCAGGCGGTTGGTTGGTTTGTTTTTTTTTTTTTCCTTTCCTGTGCAATAATGCAGTTCCAGGGATGAAAGCCGATGAAAGAATCTGTTTTGTTCGTAGTCTCCTTTTAAGTGCTGAAGAACCTGAACTGACAGTAACAGATCTCTCTAGAAGTTGCCTCCCAGCTCCTACGAGTAACAAAGTTTTGCAAAATCCCAGTCGGCAACTTTGGGCTCCTCATTGCTCCCATCCCCGTAGGTCTTCTTCCTACGTAAAGCTCTTTTATGGGGGATTTCTATAGGTTAGCATCGGTCTTTGCCACCGACGGCAGGTAGGTTGAGCACCGAAGGCGGGTTTCCCGCATCATCTCCGCCGCCCTAGCCCAGAAAGAAGCACGGCATGCGCTGCCCGCGCCCTTCCCGCCGCACCCACCAGGGGCCACTGCAGCCACGGGGATGCGGACGGGCTCGGGCGCATCGCTGCGCTGCCTATGTCACCCAGGGAAAAGCAGCACGACATCAAGTACTGAGCATAAATTCGTAGAACTGACATTATAATCACCAGTGCAACATTTTCACGCGGGGGTAGGCTTTGCTTCGCCCCCCAGCAGTTTGCATCCTGTTTATCGTTACCTGCAATTGCCCCAACGAAATTTTTAACTCAAGGCTCCAGATCCTAGAGGCTGCTTTGCGTTGTTTAGAGCAAGGCGCGAGAGCGGCAGCAGATCCTGCGCCAGGGTACCAGAAGCCCCACCTCAGGCCCCCACATGATGCTCACTTTGCCCTGGAAAGTAATTTCACTTCCCCCCCTCCGCCCTCCATAGCGAGAATTTAAGAAAATAAGTTAAAATAAAATTCGCTTAAACTTTGTTCTGGACGACGGGTCGGAGACGACAGGTGGCTGCTGCGTGGGGAAGCGGCTGCACGTCGCTGCCCGCGCCTTCCCGCGGCTCCGGACCCGCGGAGCGCCGTTCGCGGGGGCAGCGGGGCTGCCGCGGCGGTACCTGCTCCACCGGGACAGGCAGCTCCCCCGGCCGCCGACAGGCGCCGGGTGGCTATGCGGGAGCCCCGCGGGGCCGAACTCGGCCCGGCCCCCGCTGCCGCCGCCCGGGAGGGGCCGGGCGGGGCCGGCAGGAAACCCCGCCCCGGGCAGCGCCCACCGCGCTCCGCGCAAGCTGCGCTGCTCAAGCGGAGCCGAACTGAGCCGGGAGGCTGGAGCGGGACGGGACGGGACGGGATAGGACGGGAAGGGACGCGACGGGACGGACGAGGCGCGGCGGCTCTGCCGTGTCGCGCAGCCACGCGGACCCGCGCCGCCCGCGGGCCGGCCCCGCCGCGGGGGGGACCGCGGTGTTTGATTTTCGTTTTTCCTTTTTGGCGAAGGAGAGGAGCAGCAGGTTTATGCTAATCGCTCTCTAGGGAGCGGCGGCGGGAGGAGGAGGAGGAGGAGAGGAGCCATTTTGAACTCACTTCAAAGTTTAAGGTGGAAAAGTTGGAGCTCTCCAGCCCGCTGCCCGCGGACCGGGACGGGGCGCGGGGCTCGGGGCCGGCGGTGCCCGGGAGGCAAGGACGGCGGGGGGGCCGGGGCGGCGGCTGATGGATGCGGGCGGGCGGGCGACCCGGCGGGTGGATGGATTGTGCGGCAGCCCGCTGCCCGGCCCCGCTGCCCGCTGAGCTCCGGAGATGCCGCGGCTGCTGTCCGCCGCCGCCTGCGTGTCCTGGGCCGCGTTGCTCTGCGCCCTGGCGTCGGCGGGCGGCGGGGACCCGCGGCCGCCCCGCGCAGCCCCGCTGCTCCACCTGCCCGCGGGGACCGCGGGGCGCCCCGCCGCCGCTGAGCCTCCGGCGCTGCCGCCCGCCGGGCGCCTGAGGGCGGCGGGGACCGCGCCACGCCGCGCTCCGCCCGCCGAGCCCCGCGGGCCCCGCGGCGGCGGCGGCCCCTGCCCGCGCCGCGCCCGGCACCGGGCGGCCAGCGAGCCCCGCGGGGCCGCCGCCGGCTGCGCCCCGCTGCCGGGCGGGGAGGGCGGCGGGCGGCGGGGAGCGCGGCGGGCGCGGAGCCTCAACAGCCCCCCGCAGTTCCAGCTGCCCAGCTACCAGGTCTCCATTCCCGAGAACGAGCCGGCCGGCACGGCGGTCATCGTGCTGCGGGCCCAGGACCCCGACGAGGGGGAAGCCGGCAGGCTGGCGTACTCCATGGAGGCGCTCTTTGACGAGCGCTCCAACGACTACTTCTCCATCGACACCGAGACAGGCAGTGTGGTCACTGCCCGCAGCCTGGACCGGGAGACGAAAGACACCCATGTGCTGAAGGTGACCGCCTCCGACCACGGTTCCCCACGTCGCCGCTCGGCCACCACTTACCTGACAGTGACCGTGAGTGACACCAATGACCACGAGCCAGTGTTTGAGCAGCCTGAGTATCGGGAGAGCATCCGAGAGAACCTGGAGGTGGGTTATGAGGTGCTGACCATTCGCGCCACCGATGGAGATGCCCCAGCCAACGCCAACATGCTTTACCGCCTGCTGGAGCCAGGAGCTGGTGATGGGGTCTTTGAGATTGACCCACGTTCCGGGGTTGTGAGGACCCGAGCCCCAGTGGATCGTGAGGAGGTCTCTGAGTACCACCTGGTGGTGGAAGCCAATGACCAGGGCAAGGATCCAGGACCACGCAGTGCCACGGCTATGGTGCACATCACTGTAGAGGATGAGAATGACAACTATCCTCAGTTCAGTGAGAAGCGCTACCTGGTCCAGGTGCCAGAGGATGCCCCAGTGAACAGCCAGATACTGCAGGTACAGGCCACAGATCGGGACCGGGGCAGCAATGCCCAGGTGCACTACAGCATTGTGAGTGGCAACCTGAAAGGCCAATTCTATATTCACTCTTTCTCTGGCGCCATCGACCTGATTAACCCTCTGGATTATGAGACTATTCGGGAGTACACACTCCGTATCAAAGCCCAGGATGGGGGCAGACCTCCTTTGATTAACTCCAGTGGCATGGTGTCAGTGCAGGTTGTGGACGTGAATGACAATGCCCCCATCTTTGTGAGCACTCCATTCCAGGCCACAGTGCTGGAGAATGTTCCGCTGGGCTACTCAGTGCTGCACATCCAGGCTGTGGATGCTGACTCTGGAGAGAATGCCCGCCTGGAGTACAAACTCATAGAGATGGCACCATCCACTGGAGGTGCCCCTGTAGCAGGTGACTCTGCGTTCCCTTTTCAAATCAACAACAGCACAGGATGGATCACTGTGGCTGCAGAGCTGGACCGAGAGACTGTGGAGAACTATCACTTCGGGGTGGAGGCCAGGGATCATGGCATACCAGTCATGACCTCCTCAGCCAGTGTGTCCATCACTGTCCTGGATGTGAACGACAACAACCCCACCTTCACGGAAAAGGTGTATCACCTCAGACTGAACGAGGATGCAGCTGTGGGCAGTAGTGTCCTGACACTGACAGCAGTGGACAGGGACGTTAACAGTGTTGTGACTTACCAGATCACCAGTGGCAACACCAGGAACCGTTTTGCCATCACCAGTCAGAGTGGAGGGGGGCTGATCACACTGGCCTTGCCCCTGGATTACAAGCAAGAAAGGCAGTATGTGCTCACAGTCACTGCCTCTGATGGCACTCGCTTTGACACTGTCCAGGTCTTCATCAATGTCACAGATGCCAACACACACCGCCCAGTCTTCCAGAGCTCCCACTACACAGTGAGCGTCAGCGAGGACAAACCCATTGGCACCTCCATTGTCACCATCAGTGCCACTGATGAAGACACGGGGGAGAATGCAAGAATCACTTACATTTTGGACGATAACATCCCCCAGTTCCGCATTGACCCTGACACAGGCACCATCACCACCCTGATGGAGCTGGACTATGAGGACCAGGCCTCCTACACTTTGGCCATTACAGCCCATGACAATGGCATCCCACAGAAGTCGGACACCACGTATGTTGAGATCCTCATCCTGGATGCCAATGACAATGCACCCCGCTTCCTGCGCGACCGCTACCAAGGCTCGGTTTTTGAGGATGTGCCGCTCTCCACCAGTGTCCTGCAGCTGTCTGCCACCGACCGTGACTCAGGCCTCAATGGACGTCTCCTCTACACGTTCCAAGGTGGTGACGATGGAGATGGAGACTTCTACATTGAACCGACTTCTGGAGTGATACGCACACTGCGCAAGCTGGACCGTGAGAATGTGGCTGTCTACAGCCTGCGGGCCTTTGCTGTGGACAGGGGTAGCCCACCACTGAAAGCCTCTGTGGATATTCAGGTGACTGTGCTGGACATCAACGACAATCCCCCTGTCTTTGAGAAGGATGAATTTGACATCTTTGTGGAGGAGAATAGCCCTGTGGGCTCTATTGTAGCACGGATCACTGCAGCTGATCCTGACGAGGGGACCAATGCACAGATCATGTACCAGATTGTAGAGGGGAACATCCCTGAGGTCTTCCAGCTAGACTTGCTCAATGGAGACCTCACAGCCCTAATGGACCTGGATTATGAGAGCCGGACAGAGTATGTTATTGTGGTGCAGGCCACTTCAGCCCCTCTTGTCAGCCGAGCAACAGTGCACATCCGCCTCCTGGACCAGAATGATAACCCACCCGTGCTGCAGGACTTCCAGATCCTCTTCAATAACTATGTAACCAACAAGTCCAACAGCTTTCCCTCTGGTGTGATTGGCAAGATCCCAGCTCACGATCCCGATGTATCTGACAGTTTGGCTTACACCTTTGTGCAAGGCAATGAATTAAACTTGCTCCTTTTGGACTCTGCCACTGGGGAGCTCAAACTCAGTCGTGATCTGGACAACAACAGACCCCTGGAAGCCCTTATGAAAGTGTCAGTCTCAGGTAAGGAAGCGTTTGAGCACGTGTTCTGCTTGTCAGATCAGTATGGGGCATGGGCAGAAATAACGCACTTGCAGATTAGCGTGCAGCTTTTGGTTTCCTGAAGCAGCAGTTTATATGTGAAAGTTTTGGAGAGGAACCACAAAAATGTATCAAGCCTATGTGCTGTGGATTGAAGTGGTGCACTGAAGTTGTTTAGTAAATGTGGATCACAAGGGTAAATAAATACAAGTGTGCGTGGAAGGGTTCATACTCCCTCAGCGGAGGTGGTACCTTTGCTGCAGCTTTTCTGATGTGGTTCCACAAAGGTAGTAAATTATGTAACTTGCGAAGATGTAGAGAGTGCCACCTCTAATGCCATCTCCCCTCTTTTTTTGCCTCTAAAAAAAAAAAAAAGCCAGTTGAGATTTGATATGTTTGCTTTTTCAGCAGCAAAACACATTTACTCCCTTGTGTGTACCCAGAGGTTTGGCTGGAAGATCATTAGACTCGGGCCAGATCTGGTGTGGCCTGGATGGATGTGACATTGGTGGAGCTGTGCTAGTTTGCATTGCTGGCCCACATTCCTATGGGAAATGGCAGCTCTGAAAGCAATGAGTTATGGCTGTGTGATAGCCGTGTAAGGTGGCTAATTGGCACTGGAGTTGTTTTAGTGGCACTAGGGGCAGATACTGGCCAAATGCAGCCCCAGAATCAGGGCCGTTGTGGGGAAGGGAGAGGAGAGGAGAGATACTGTGCTGTTAATTTCGTTGAATTTGCATCTGTGTGTGTGTAAAGACTGTTTGGTATTGTCCAGTATATACTTTTGTCTGAGCACACATACATGCTCTTAGGATATTATTCCTTTTCTGCTCAGTTGCTTGTTTATCATGGAATTACTTTTTATGCCTCTAATTGTGGCATCAATCATGCAATGAGTAATTTCCTCTGCAGGTGACACTCTATAAAGTTTACTGTGGACCTGATCCCATATTTCTGTTGACTTTCAAAGGTTTAACCAGATATATTCCCTGCTGCCTCTCTCTGCAAACTAAAACTAATATTTGTGTTATTTTTGGAAAGAAAAAAAAAAGTACTAGGTTGGTAAAATGACACTTGGGGAAATGCTTCTTTCTGGATGGTTCTATTTAGAAAAATGTTAATCAAATTGTGGCATAATCCCAGCAGTGGTTGTTTTACTGTAAGGAGCCACAGTGTGCAGCAAGGCCTTGGAAGAGTGAACCGTACTCTTCCTTGTGCTTTTAGGCTTGAGGTCCTTTTTGCCAGAAAAATAAAACTGATATTGACTGAGCTGATTTTCCTGCAGTGTATCTCCTGACAAGCCACTTCTGGTTCTTACAAAATGCGGGGGGGGGGGGAAGGGGGTGGAAGGGGGCAGCTTATGTGGTAAAGTGGCTTATAAATGCTGTTTCCATGTTCTGTGAGGACTTGCAGGAAAAACAGACATTAGGCTTGTGATCTTAAAGAAAAACATTTGGATTAAGGTGCAGGTGATTGCATGGCCCCTGTCTGTTTGAACCAGTAGCTCTTTATCTGGTAGCAGAAGATAAGAACTCATCTTGGAGCACAAAGCTTGGAAAAGTAGTTTCATTAGATGAGGTGAAGCATATATCTATTCCTTTCTCAGTGTAATGATCTATGCAGTTGAAGTGGGTGAAGTCTAAGGTAGGAATGAAGAGCTGTTTTCTTATGCTGGAGATTGGCAATTCCAGCATAATTTTCATGTTTTGTGTGTGAACTTTGAAACTCTGCTGTGATGTTCATCAAAATTGACTGTCTGCTATGTGTCTTGAGATATGAAAGGTTAAAGCTTTTTATGGCTAGGATTTTAAAATAACTTTGACAAGCACTGAACTACATTTGACAGTTTTTTGGAAAAGTTTGCTGTGTGGAAATTGAAGGAGCAGGGTTTGGCATTGTGTGATTGGTCCGTGAAAGTATCACCTGCCTGCTTTCTCTGGTTTATCTGATGCAGTTTAAAAAAAGAAAAGAGAGAGAGAAGAAGCTCAGACAGAAGTACTCCACAGGGTTATCTCTAAGTATTGCAAAACACCTGCAAATCATCTGCTAAACTGACCTGCCAGTTAACTGAAAAAAACTGTGTCTATGCAGTAGCCATTAACCTCCCAACCTAGACAAACACAAAGTCCTCCCCTACTCCCAGCTGCTCTTTAGGTCAGGGAAGGACTGGAACTCTTTATGAACTTGGGGAATTTGATCTATATGTGAGTCGGAAGTAACATTGGCGCTATAAAAATCTTACTTCCAATTAGCGATGTGTGGTGCTGCAGAAGCATGTGAATGTGTGTAGTGCTGGTGCGTGCACGTGTGTGTGCAGTGCTACACAGCTGAGTTTGAGACATTGATACATGGCTAAACCCAGTCTTTCCTTTGACCTGGGGATTATTCAAATAAGCATGTCCTTGTGCATATAAACAAAATTTAAGAATCATGAAGACCAACCAAATGGAGCTAGTAGGCTTCATAAAACCGTCAGAAGTTTCATGTCGCCATTGTAAGAATTTCCCTGGGCTGGTGGGCAGCTGGGGCAGGCTCGGGGGCGTGTGTGGCTCCGCCCTTGCCCTGGTGCTGCCGTACCCTTTGGGATACCTGTCGGCTGTGCCCCCGCTGCCAGTCAGGAACCAACCCAGGCGGAGGAGGGAGGAGTGTGGGTGGTGTGGATATTAGCATTTTGCTTTGGATTGGGAAGGAACTTTTGAAGTCAGTCTCTTTTGAAGTGAATTTCTCTGGGTGTCTGTGCACAGCCATCTGAGTGAACAAACTGGACCCCTTTTGCATGAAAGTAATCCACAGGTGCTCCAGTGGTTCCTTAAAAAGACACATTCTCCTTTTTCTGGTGTACCTTCAAGGCCTTCCTACAGAAAGGCAGAGCTTGGCCTTATATTCCCATGCCTGCACATTGTGTCATTGTTATTGTTTCAACAACTGGGGTGAAATCTGGACCCTACTGAAATCCTGCCCTTGCTTTCCAAGATCTCACTCTGGGCTTCTGAAACAGGTGGCTGAGAGTCAATCAGTCTGTGATTTCTTAGTGTTATTTATAAATACATGGTGTAAACTGGCAGGATGGTTAAATACGATTACTTTTTGTTTACAAAAATATTAACTTGGGGTTTATTTGCTCAAAAAAATGAGTCAAACATTGCTCAATTCCCATTGCTTAGGTTAAACATTATACTGCACTACACACCAGGGCTTCAGTAAAGGCTGGATGGAACCTCAGCTTTGCACAAATGTTGCACAAGTTTTCCTGGGTATCACATTGCAAACGCTGCTGGCACCTGCTTGGCTGTGCTGCCACAAGTAGTCCCACTTATCATCAACGACAGCTCAGTGGGATACAATAGATGTGTGTGCAAACTCCTCTGGGAACCCAGCCTAAATCAGCAATGCAGACAAAGCCCAACCTGACTGGATTCTGCACCTTTTGAGTGGTCCAGATAAATGTAAAATATCATTATGCAACACACAATATGCAATTTTGGGAAGGTGGTGCACCTCAGACGGTGAGGGATAGACACCCAAGCATTTTTGAGGGCATGCAGGCTCAAGTATCGTATTTTACATTTCTTTAGCTTTTCATCTCCGGGGGCATTCAGTGAGGTTATTGACTATGGCAAATAGAAATTAACATAGAGATCGTTTTTGTTGCAATCAACTTTGGGAATTTTCACTCAGAGCTTGGTAAAGGATCTTCATTATGATTGTAATTTAAAAGTCATTTATGCTAATGATCCTGAATCTCCAGGTCCGTGCCTTCTCCATACAAATGTAACAGATGATGCAATACTTTGATGCAGCCCTTCTGATAAAGGTAAAGCCACAGGTGTGCCTGAGATGCAAGACACTAGGGAGATTACTTAATGTGTGTGAAGATTTGAGATGAAAGGGAAAAAGAAAATTTGAGTGAAAAGGCATCCTTGTAAGCACAGGGGCATCTCTGGGCACTCAGGATGTGGGTCAGGCACCTTGGCAGCATCAGGGTGCACCCCACCCTTGTGCCCCTGCCTTTGGGCATCTGGCAGATGAGACCTTCTGTGCTTTGGGGGCAAATCTGCAGGGTAGCTGGTTCTTTTGGGAGCGATGCTTCTGTCTGCCTCTAAGGAGGACTTGCTTTTAGGACCAGTGAGGGTCAGTTAGCACCCAAACTGTTCTCCAGGGAAACACATTCCTGCAGGCAGCTGGGGTAGGGATCCCTGTGGGTTATACAATTAGGAAATGATAAAAATGGATGGGTGGAGACTCCTCACTTCCCTCCTTCCTGGTAAGAGGATGTGTTTCAGCCTGTCCTGTGGCTGCAGGGCTTTTGCACGCTGGCATTCCCGGGGACCTGGGGCACTTGCACTTCCCTCATGCATCCCATGCTACAGCGAGGGGAGAAAAAGCAGTGGCTCAAAGGCTACAGAGGCTGGAAAACACCGATGAGGAACCTGTTTAGAAAGATGGCATGACACCACAAGCTTCAGGATTGTATCCCCAGTCCTTACATGATGTGTTAAGTGGGGCAGAAATGAAGGATGACTGATAATAGCTAGTAGCAGTGATTTTGAACATTTACATTTATTTTCCTAAAATAGCAAATCAAGAGTAGTGACCATCATTTAAAGTTAGGGTAGCTTCTGGATTTGCAGTGGCTACCTGTATTTTTTCTTGCATCCATATAGGTTCTATATTCTAATCTGTTCTGTAGAAAAGATGCATTTTAGATGTATGGCCCTCCAGCCTGCCAGAATGTGACTTTTCCATTCTAGCTGTATGATCTGTTCCAGCTGATAATAAGCTGTGGCAGCCTTGTTGCTTTCCTTCCACTTCATCCCTGGATTTCATAGGAGTGGTATATTTTTGTTTCAAAAAATAGGAAAACATCTATGGCAATGAGGAGAAAATATTTAGTGAAACGCTGACTGACAAAGTAACTTTTTACTGAGATAAAACATGTCTTCTTTCTGTAAATAAATAAAATTATATCTTTCTCATCAATT